GCCTTGAAGTATTTTTCGATTCTTAGTCCCAAGTTTGTTTTTCATCCGTATACAGTATGAAGTAAGGCATTCGGCATATGAAGTTTAGCGTATTGGAATTTCTAGTTGCGAAACAAAATATTTCGATCTGGGGAACTGGTTTTGTATGATTCATATTTGTGCAATGCTCATATGCGACGGTGGCCAATTTCGAAATTCTCCCATTCTGGCAGCTAAAGACTCCAGCAGATTTAGGTGCTGCTTAGAGTTATCTTCAAATTGCCACGACAAGGAAATGTAATTCACAATAAGTAGGTTAGCGTGTAGAAGACGGCGTATGGAGATTGGTAGACAATGTTTGGGGATTCTGGCTGCGGAGCAAAAATGTGTCGATCGGGCGGTTGTTGATGATTTTCGAAAAATAGACATGTACTTGGTCATGTGGCGACTTCGAAGTTCGGCCCACTGGGTCGCTACACACTGCAGATTCAATTTGTGCTGGCCGAAACCAGAGAAGCATTGCCGGATCATAGGGATCAGCGTTTAAGCTTGGGTTTGCAAATGAACTTGCAATAATTCCTGCTTGGTGTGCAGCCCGCGCGGGGATTCAGTGGGAAATGATGAGTGAAGAGGCGGTTCTGCTGCTTCGAAGTGATTATTCCAGAAATGATTCTGCTGCTTCGGGGTGATTATTTTAAAAACTGATTCCGTTTTCGGGGTGGTTAAATAAAAATTGAGGCTGCTGCTTCGGGGTAATCACACAGAAACAGCAGACGCAGCACATCACTAAGCAGCGGAATCATTTATTCATTATAATCACCGAAATAAATGAATCACTTTTCAAGCAAGGTCCGGGGGAAGCAAAATCACCACGTAACTAATCACATCCAACCAGCAGAATCACCCCGAATCAACAGAATCACTTATTTAACCACCCCGAAGAAGCAGATTCATTTTTGCACCAACCACCCCCACAGCAAAAGAATTACATCCCAATTAATCACCCGCAGACACAGAATAACTTTCGTATTTACCTTCGAATTAGCAAAACCACTTCCTAACTAATCATCCCGAAGCGGCAGAGTCACTTGTCAATTGACCACCCCGAAGCAGCAAGAATTTTTTCAATGAACCATCCCAGGCAGCAGTATCATATTTTAATTAATCCCCCCGATGCAGCAAAACCACGTTCTAGTTTCAGCGTGTATCCGCACAAAGCTGCAACGCATCATGCAAACTGGATTTTGGCATGCACAATTCTTTTTCTCAAGAACAAATAATCGAAGCAAGTTCTCATAAAAATAACAAGCGGGGAGCTGGGCGCGCCGCTCCCATGTGCAAAAAATACATTCGCATCATGCGTTTCGGTTGCAACAAAGCTGTGTCCAAAACACACATTAGAAATATTTTTTTCGCAAAAAAATTAAATTTCTTCAAAAAAAAAGTTTCTTGTTTATTTCAAATAAGGATTCATTTTCATCCCGGAGGCTCAGTTCGGGCTTCAGGATTTCGGGGTTTAGGATTGGTTCCACTTCGTATTGTGACAGACCCGACATTCAAATGACAAAAAGCGCCTAATTTCGGGGTTGTTCTGCCCATTTGGGCAGCTGAAAACTATACATTTTATTTGTGGTCTTAAAATTTATTAGGAAATAAAAACCGGGGGTTCGGGGTTCTGCCATGAGCAAGGCTTGGCAAGGATTCGCTTATAAAATCAAGAAAAGTAGAAACTATCTTATAAAAATATGGAGCAAATCCTCAAATCAAAAACAAATATCTTTCCCGGGAAAAATTCAAGCCAAGCCAAGCCAGACGAAGAAAAAACCTGCCGGCGGAGCTGCGCCAAGCCGAGCCAAGCCAAAAAAGCCGCGCCACGCCGAGCCAAGACGAAGAAAAAAACCGAGCCAAGCCAGACAAGAAAATCGGGCCCGCGGAGCCGATCCAAGCCAAAAAACGCCAAGTCAAGCAGACACTCGCCGAGCCAAGCCAGTCGATGCAAAAAACCGAGCCAAGGACAAAAAACGGGTTCGCTTTTCGTTCAATTTTCTGTTTTTTCGCTGTTGCTTGTTTTTCTGATTTTTTTTTTTTGGTTCTTTATATGCTGTGTTTTGGATGAATTTGGTTTATGCAAATGATAATTTTTTTCTATGAATAATTTTTTTTTGATCCGGAAATAGTTCTTAATTTGATGCCTTAAATAGCTTTTTTTGATTCACCTCCAAGTGCCCCCACCCCTATACGTTGAAAGGCGAAATCCAGCACCAGAAAAATCGCCCCTGCACACTTGCTCTAGAGGCAGAAATCAGAAACCATGCAAAGCAAATTCTACCTTCAAACACGAAGTAGATGTCGACACGCTTCGATAATTAATTCATATAGACAAGCGGATGGACAGACACACGGACAGCGCACAGACGACATACCGACAACGATTATTCCAGTGCTGCAGAAGGAACAATTGGTAGTAGTAGTAGTAGCATAGTTGTAGTAGTGGTGGTAGTAGTAGACGTAGTCGTAATGGTATTGGTAGTACCAGCAGCAGCAGAAACAGCAGCAGCGGCAGTAGAAGTACTAGTCGTAGCAGAAGTAGCAAAAAAGTATTGGTAGCCGGAGTAGCAGATGAAGATAATAGAAATGACGGCAAGGGTGGGGATGACCAAGATCATAAAGATGACGTCAGGTAGAGCGGAATAAGAAAATAAGATGGACATGGAAGAAAAAAAAAACTGGGTAATTAATGGGCGGAATAGGTATGGCGGAGGGGTCGGGGGAGCAGGGTGGAGGGGTAATCATTATCCTGGTTAATCGGGAAGGGGAGAAAATAATATACGCGCAAAAAAGAGAAATAAATTCAATATGAGAGAGATGAAGAAAATACGATCTTATGGCTGGGGTGAAAGAAGGGGCATGAATTTGGGTCAATATAATGAGCTAAAATAAATTAAAAAATCAGAAAAAAAAAACTTAAAAAATAAGAGATTTAAATTAATTTCGAATCTTATTAATCGTAAAAAATCATAAATAATATTAATCGAATTACTTTAACTATGAATCAAGAATTCATAAACCTTCATAGTATCCTAAAAATTTTTTCTTAATAATCCTTTATAATTTCACGAATAGACTTTAAGAAATTTAATTAATACTTCTAATGTCGGTGGTGTGAGCCCGGCGGCATCACAGAGCTTCTGCTGGCTAATACTTCTAATCAATTTAAAAAATTCTAAGAGAAAAATAATAAATATTATTCTCAGAAATATAAATTTTCAGATTTCTCAATAATATATCATATCATTATTTAGATGACTTCATAATAATATAATCAATATAAATAATATTTAGATTCTTCGAATTTTTTTTTAAATTAAATAAAAAAGGCAAAGAAATAATATATTTACTTTATTGTCAACAAAATCCATATTTTTCTTTATCACGTCCTACCACCAATCTCAAATATCATCTAAATCATTCCGAGAACCTTTTGATACTATTTGCTATAACGGCTCCATCATAATATTAGATGCCATTTCAATACAATAGAAAATATCGTTTATTCTCAATCATATCAAATTATACAACGATTCCGTCCCAATTCATTTAAATATCAAGAGATAGATCATCATATAGAATACAACCTTCATCTTCTGAGCTTTCATACATTTGATTATATTAATTATCATGTAATCGGGGCAATATCTATCTATTCAGAATTTATTTGGCCAAATAAGTATTCGATCTTGTTCTTAGTATAAAAAAATACCTCTTCCCCTATAAATTTAGATCGCTGATGACTTCTCGTAATTAAAATAATGATGCAAAAGCCTTGTTGATACAAAACAAAGGAAGCAGGACTCTTGTGTGCAGGGATTTTCTGTCTTCACTTGCCGAGAGATGAGCAGCTGGAGACTTGTGATAGACTGGGCGGGATTGCAAGCGAAGCCGCTGCACAAGGCCGCGTGCAATACTTGGGGAACTTCCAGAACCGCTCTTTAACGTGCATGGGAAAGTCCCGACCACGGAGACACTGACACCGTTCACTTGAAAACAAGCCCTGAGCTGCAAGGTAAGAGACCTCCGCATCGGAATTCAAACGTATTACATAAAACAGTTGCAGCAATTTTGCTGCTCGAATTGGTCCACGCCTCTGCAAGCTCAGGCGATGCCCATCTTAAAAGCAGCACGGGTCGCCTTCTGTGTGAAGTTGCTGTACGACACCTTGGAGTCGGATGCACCACACCGTGCAGCCGAAAACGTAGGCAAGTGTGGGACAGGAGGTGCAGACATAGCACAATGTCATCTTACACTTCGATCCACTGGACCGCTTTAAGAATTGCATGCCTCACATGACAGCTTTGTCCAAGTTCTTCCAAACGACGCAGGCCCTGAACCTGCTGACCCTTGGAAACACTACCGAAACACAGTCGCCCGTGAAGCTCCACCCTGAAACACTGCAAGACACGCCGGTATCCACACCGTTGGACGCCCGCTGCTTGGAATGCTTCCTCAGATATGCTCGAGTCACCCTGCCATCCCCAACGCTCTAGGGCCCCAGCTTCCGGGACTCAAGCGTTGCAGCTGCGGAAGGAAGGAAGCCCTGAAACCGGAGACCCGACTGCCTTCGTCCAAGAATCTGGCTGATCATTGCCATCTTCTTTGACCCCATCTGCCTCACAGTGGTTCGGGAGAGGCGCCAAACACTCTTAGGTTTGTTGCAGGTCCGGCTCGTCACCAACGGGCCCGATAGGTCTCCGAAGTCCGAAACCGGCAGAAGACAACGTCCCATGCTGACACCTCACTTCTTTCAGCCGTGGGCCGTAACTATCCTTGAAGCTAACATGGAATGCATCCGCAAGGTGACACATGTAGATTCATCTGGGGCTCTTCGGGAAGGCCAGGGCCGAAGGCTGGTGCGAACCCATTCCCACATTCCCCAGCCGACGGCTCGGTCGCCTCAACCGCCATCCACCCAACAAAGAAAGCCTTGTCAACCCAACCGCCCTCAATCCTGAAGCCAAAGACTGTCAGCAAAAGCAATCCTGCTGCAAGCCCCCTCCCCGCGAACTATGGGAGTGTCTGCTCGTCCTGTAGTCTTCGCGATGGTTAAGGTCGGCCATGCACTCGCGGAGATCGCTGAGGAGGCCCAGGCACCTTCCAAGGACTCTGATGGTTGAAGACCGGGGCTCTCTCTGTGTGTGCGCATTTTTCTCATGCTGTCTACTACACCAAATTAGAAGGCAAACGACCTTATCCTGCATGACTCGGGTTTGGATGGACCCCTGATGTCTGAGGGACTCCAAACCCAAGCCCTGCAGCCGAAACACTGGTGTCTGAGCTGAAGTTACTCTTGCTGCACAATACAACCGCCCGATGATTCGGTGGGACAGAAGCACATGCTGAGCACTTGCAAGGCTACAAACGGGAAATCTTAAAGATAATTGAAGCCACAGCCCGCACTGTCGAGATTGTCCCGAACCTCCAAAGACTCCAAGCCCCGAAGCCCCTCAACACCTCGTCTTATCAGCATCAGCATCATCCCGAACACCATCCCAAATGCCAAGCCCAGGAACACGGCATCTCCGCTTTGCACCAGCGGAGAAGCGCCCAAGGTTGCCGAGGCGTCCTGTGGAACTCCAACATGCTGCAGGCTAATTCGCTCGAAGACTCCGCAAACTCTGCGAAACTTTCAACTCCTTTCCACTTCAGGATAACGACCCTATGGGAAGGATACACCCGGGATTTGTGTAGTCACCTGCAACCCAACCCTCGAGGTCTCTAACCCTTCCGCGCTGTGTCCTCGAGGATCTGCCGAGCTTGCTGCAAGTTCCCGCGATCGGCGGTGCGACGCGCCTCATCCAACGCCTCAGAAGGAGGTGAAGGGGGGGCCAGCTTAAGGGTCACCGTGAAGTTCAGGCTCTTGCTGGGCTTAGTCTGCGCCCTGAACGCGACGCATCAGGCCACTTCCCCTCGCCCCGACTCCGTGGGCCTCGTTGGCCACATGGCGGTTCCAGTGGCGCTCCACCTGACTTGTACTGCCAAGGGCTTCAAAGGTCGAGGCTCGAGTGCGAAGGCAGCGCGTAACCAAGAACTTGGAGAAACGGAGCCGACAGAAGAATGGAGCATGAAAAATGAAACCGCGCAGTTCAAGTCAGGGCTGGTCGCGTGGATTCTAGTGAGCTTGGGGATGTCCCAGTGCTGTCCAGTCGCATGGCAACAAAGGGTGTCTGCAGAGTTCGCCCAGAGTAAACCACTAGGTTACTAGGTAGTTTTCCAATTTTGGCCCGAGGCATTGCATTCGTTACTCTACAAGCCTTGCCGAGCGGGTTTCTGGGAAGCGGGCACAATCTAGGGATTTTTGCTGCAGGGCCGAAGCCCTGTCACTTCCAGAAGGTAGAGCTTAGGCTAAACAGCTGTGGTTCTGGATCTTAAAACTTCCAGCTCCGAACTTCTGGGTCCAGGAAAAGGGCCACCATCTACGCGAGAGCGAGGGCGCCTGTTCCGCCCGCGGAAGATCAGCCCTGGCGTCTGCACGGCGTTCCACTGTCATGGCCTTTGAGCGAAACGGAAGGCGTCTGAGATTTTGGGACTCGCTTGGAGTCTTGATGAGTCTTGGAGGTCTCTTCAGGGCTTGCGTTTAAGTTGCAGTTTCATGTGAGGGAGATGTGGTGTTCGGGACGCCGTAATTGGGGAGTGCTGTTAAGGGGTGTAGTGGGTGCGGGGTTCTAGACGTTTAGGCTTGCTTCCTGCGTTTGCTGTGCAGGGATTGAACCCAAACCCAAACTCTAAGCCCTCACCCAAGTGCCAGAAGCGTCGTTTCCGAACCCTGAACCATACCATCACATTGTGCTGAAAGTCCCGCGTCAAAACCGTCAATTGCGGGTCTGTGGCCTTGATGTCGCGTTCGCTGCGCTTGGCAATCACGGAGAAGCCGCGTGCCTGGTTCGCGCGGCTTAGCATGGACTCAAAGCTCAGCTTAGGAAGTTTAGAAGATCACGGTTTGGATTCGGACTTAGGTTTCGGGACCTCGGCTCTCACTCGGATCCTTAGCCGCTGCCTCCTGGCTAGGACTATGACTATGCTCTGCTTGGTTCAAACCGCGAAGCCTAGATCTGCCGCACACGGGCAGAGTCCCGATCTCTCCCAGAAGCTGAGTGTTTTTGGAGGACTGGAGGAGGCCATGGCCATGGCAAAAGGCTCAGAGTACAAAACGCGGAGGGAGCGGAGCGGCCGGACTTCTGCTACTTCTCCTTCCGCTGTGCTTCCTGCTCGGCTGCGTGGGGCTCTGACTGGGACACGGACAGCCGGGGGCCGCCCACCTCCTCCGCAACATCCTGAACAGGAGCCCTGTAGCCCTCCCGAAACGGGAAAACTCCCAAACCCTGAAACCAGAAAACCAACACCCGGCCCCAAGACCATGAAAGCCTGCTCTAAAGCCCAAAACGTACGAGAAACCCTCTCGGAGCGGAACCTCCAAACGACCGATACCCTGGAGCTGCGCAGCGCCCTCGGGAACCGTCGGCAGGCTCAGGGCCTCAGTGCTTTCGGGTCTTTGAAGGACCGGGCTTCATTGACTACACCGAAGTACACTATGGCTTTGTGAGCTGCACCCGGGCTCTTGACTGGGCCCTTGCTGTCAACGCGCGGGCAGCGGGGTAGCTTTCCATCTGCTCTGACTGGTGTTGGCAGTGGGGTTTGCCTTGGGCTTACCCGAAACGACATAAAACACAATGAAACCATTGTGCTCCAGCACCCCAACTCTCAAATCCCAAGGAAGCGGAATCACAGAGCAGCTGTTGTCGTGCATGAAGGTGGCCACCAGTATGTCTCTGCGCTCCTCTGCGTAAAGGTCTCCGAGCTCCACCTCGGGGCAGCAAAGCTATGGCAATGGCTTTCAAGCCGCCTTTTCATGGCTGCGAGCGTGCGGTTTAGATTTTCTGCTTGGATTGCATGATGCGTTGAGGAGCACATATGCTTACAAGTTACCATAACCCAGATGTCAAGTTGATGGGTGGCTGGTCTCAGTCAAGGGCCCACGTTGAGGTCTGACGGTTCCGGTGCTCCACGTACGGAAGCTGAAGTTTTCATCAGCTGTAAATGCAAACCAGAAACTGAAAGACTGGAAAGCTGTTGATGACTATGCGAGCCATGACGCGGGGGGGTCCGGCTTGTGCAGGGTTGGAATCCACAAAAACAATCGCATCCGCGAGCCCATGTGGGCTATTCCGTAATTTGTGATGTGCCCTTGCCTAGCATCCCGCCTTGTGAGGAAGATATTTGTATGGACACATGGTTCCAACTGCAGCCTCGCCGCGTTGATGCGGCCGTCTTGCGGCTCCACGGGGAAGCCTGTGAAGGCACGAAGGAAGCCTGAGCCGACACTGTTCAAGCTGCTTTAAGAGGAGCTGCTACAAGTCTGCAAAGTTTCAGGAGACAGGCTTCTGATTGCTCATGGCACCAGCGTGTTTGCTTTATCATGGTGCTGTTACATACCCTAGGGCCCTGGGGCTGAACGATCAAGGTCTTCATGATGAAGAGACACAGAGAACGAGGTGACAGCGACAGAACAGCACTCCTTCGACTCCCCACCCCATGCAACACGGGGGGGGATGGACAAGAGCAGGATTCTGGGCCCCAACAAAAAAGAGTAACACCAAAAACTCTCAACTCTGGTTTGCCTGGGTTCAAGCCTCGGGACCCACTCCGGGCGCTAGCTCCAGCGAGAGTGAGACGTTCCTCAGATGCGTTCTGGGCCATCTGTCACTTCTGGCTGAAACATGTACTTGCTTTTTCGGGGTTTCGATTTTTCTGCTTCCAACTTCCTGGGATTGTGGCTGTTGGCGCTCGCCGGCCTCGGCCGGAGAGGTTGAGGTCTAAGTCTATCGGAGTGCCATCCAAATCACGCGGAGCCATTCTGCTACAGATCCAGTTCTCAATCATTTGTCGTGTCAAGATCCCTGTTCCTCTGATCCTATGCCAAGCAATGAAAGCAGCGGTTGAGCCTACTATCGTGGATGTTCCGGCAACCCCCCCCGCCAGCCGGGGTCTCGGATCAAACCCTTGACTGCACTCCCCCCGAATTTATTGCTACATGGCGGGAAGTGACAAAAACCACCCTGCTGTTCCACATGCTACATGCGTGAGTCGTTGTTTTCAGTGCAGTTCCAAGCATCTGGTGCGTAGTCGACAGCAGACCTCCCAGTGCTTCACCGAAAGCTTCTGCAATTTGGTCCTCCGTCTCCACGTGGCTGTAGGTGCCATCAGCCGTGTCCTCGGCACGTGTCCAGTCTGGGAGCTGCAAGGACTCTCCTGTTTTTGCCCAGTTTCTGCCAACCGACGCAACATCTCCGCATTGTGACCAGCGCCGAAGCCAAAGGTGGAGATGGTGCTTTTGCAGTTCCTCCGACCAGGGCATTAGGACAGGACCTTTGACTTAAGAGGACACAGCTCGTGAAGTCCTGAGCTCCGTGAGCATGCTGGTTGCTGCTGCGCAGATGCCGGCTGTGTCCCGGATGCCCTCGTTGGCCATGCCGTCCTCCGCATTTACTTTGCATGCATGTTTCACGAACTGCGATCCCCGCGGCAACCCCGCCACAGCAGCCACTGCAATTGCAGAAGGTGACAGCTCCGCATCAGGAACTCGGGACACTACTGATGATACAAGGATTCATGCGCAACGTCACCAACAAAGGGTGTTTTGCAAGTGCTTTCAGCCTGACGAAAGAAGAAGGAACATGGGCTGTGAGATGCAACACCCAGAACAAGCTTCACAGCCCTTCGAGGGCCCCGCCGTGAAGAGGAAAGTGGAGCGAACCACAGCCTCAGCGATTGTCTCCTGGATGAGCGATTTGGGGTTGGGTTGCTGGACCTGCGCTGCAAGGCGCCGGTAAACTTCGGATGGCTGCACGCTAGACGGAAGGAGTTCGACAAAGGGGAATTGAACCGCAAAGAAAGAAAGTACCCTAGCCCTCGTCCTGAAGTTGCCTTTTTTCCCTAGAGAAGACAAGGAGGGTGTCAGTCTGACTGGCTTCCTCCTCGATCTCCTCAGGCGCCGCACCACAGAGGCCAAGGCCCCAGAAGCCTGGTGTCTGAGTTCTTTGCAGAGTTCCCAGAGTTCCCACAGTGCCTCGCCTGAGCTGCAGCTGGGGGGAGGCTTCAACGGCAGCAGCAACGTGCGGAAGGTCTCCGGCCTGATGGCAGAGTGCTTGTCCCCTCCAAGCACTCGACACCGCCGTCACCGAACTCAACTCAAAGCCCGGCCGGTCGAAGCTAAGCGTGTGCGTCACCTTCAACTCGCGCCCATCCTGCCACAGGTTCAGAGGGCTCTTCAAAGTGCAGCGCTTGCCTCAAACCCTCTCCTAATGCCAAGACCGGTGCCCGAGCCCAAAGCCCGGCCGCAAAAAAACCGAAGCTCATTTCAAAACTTTCAAGTAGTGTGAAAGTGCCTCCAACCCCCAAGCTTCGAGCTGTCCTGCAAATGGATAACCGCGAGGATCTCGAAAGTGCCCCAACCGAAGCGTGTGATCTGGAAAGGAGGGGCGGCCACCTGCGCTTCAGGTCCGGTTTAAATGGCTTGGGGTCTTGAGTTCTCTCGGGCTGTGGTGATAAATGCTCAAGGCTCCGGGCTCTGAACCACAAGTTTCTGCAGAGTTTCGACAAGTCTGCGGAGTCCGAGGCTTTGGAGTTGAACAGCTATGCAAATGAAACTTCCTGCAAAAGGATCTGCCTGCATAGACTCCCAGGACTCCCAAGACTTGCGCCCAGCTTGAAGTATCAAGTAAGCTTTGAGGGAGGATGTCTGAACTACAAAATGTTCGACAGCAACTTCAGAGACAAGGTCCACCTCCACCACCGGTTCGGCGAAGGTCTCATGAAGCTGGAAGACGACTTTATTCACCAGACCCTGGGTATCTTCCGGAAAGCGGAGCATCATCGTCCACTCGTGCACACGCTCTGCCCCTGCTGGCCTCAGCTGGCCGTGGAGAAGCTAGCATAGAAGGTTGCATGTTCGCAAACTTTACAAGGCAGGAGTCTCACAGGTTGGTAGCAGATTTCTATGAAGCTTCCTCGATTGAGATCTGTCCCAGCGAGTCGATACCAAAGAAGGTGGAGCCCATGTATACAGCACAGCCGATGTAAACCCCAAATGTGCCCCGGAACATTTCCAGAGTGGCTGGGTTTGCAGCTTCAGATGCGGAATTTGTTACTCGAGGATTGCAATGGGTGGCGCACTAGCTGGGTGTGTTTGGAATTGAAGGCCCCTATCTTTGTGGGAGTCTGCTACAACCAGGACCACCAACCTTGATGTAGAACTTTCGCCAAGGATTTGGTACACCAGGCCTGTCTTCCATTGCCAGCGTAAAGCAACACTGATCATTCAGTTCGTCCCATCGTGTGGACTTGGACTGCAAAGCTGTCTTGCTCCCAGGCCGTTGGGACCGAAAGAGTCTGCACGCCGTTTCGCATCCCCCGCTTCGTGCTGCAAACTGTTGTAATTCTAGTCACGAGTTGTGGGGCAGCTTCAGCACATCTGCGATTTGGCATCTTAACTTGGCGCAGCCGGAAATGTGACATCTGAAACCCCGCAAAGCCACAGCTTCTGAACATCGATATCCGAAAGGTCCGACAATGGTCCCGGCTGAGACCATAAGGCTTTCATGCCGGGCGGCGGGTCACTGACACCATAGTGGCCCTGCTGCAGGTGCGCCTTGCTTTTCGTTCAGGAGATGGAGCTGCAAAGTCATCGGCTGGTTGGGCTGACTTCAGGTTTTCCTGCTCAGGAACGGCAGGTGCCGTTCGAGATTTATCTGCGGGTATAGCAGTACAGCTTACTGAGCTTACTCTTCTAATCCTTGAAACCCAGTCAGGCCGAAGCAAACGCCCATCCCGATCCCCAAAGCCCGGCTTCTGCCTCCGCCTCTGCCGGGGTAAGGCGATGGTAAGTGTTGCCAACCTGGCAAATGCACTGGCTTCTGGCTTTTGGGCTGAAGTTCTGCGAGTCTTACGGTCTTAGCAAGTGGCAGCAACTGCAGTGTGTTTAAGTTTTCGAACCTTTCAAGGCTTTGAGGAATTTCCGGGATGGCTTTTGGTCTGGGACTTGAACAGACCTCAAGATTTTCCGGACTAATGCTTGTGTTGGTTCAGACGATAAAGGCCGCCTCTTTGCCCGCAGATGCTACTGTGCGCCATGATGCCTTTGAGCTAAAAACTTGAAAGCTCTGAATCCAACACCTCGAGGAGAAACCAAGGCAAGGCCAAGCGGTCCGCCTGCACCACTTGGCCCTCGGAGAGTGCGGCTCGCGGCTTGTTCCTGTGGAGCTCCAAACCTCGGCGCGTCGAAGCTCACGGGGTTGTCTGGGAAGTTTTTAGGATTCTTAATAAGTGCTTAGGGGCTTAGGGCTTCATGCATATGATTTAGGGTTTCTGGTTTGCAAGGTTGGGGTTTCTGGAAGACGAGGGCTTCTACAGACATTTGGGGTTTATGGTTGGTTGTAGCGCTTTGGGAGCCGAGATTTTGAACAACTGCAGGGCTGTGGAGTTCAAGGCTACGGGGCATAGCTCCAGCTTGGGGATATCTAATTTAAGGGGGTTTCGAACAAAGAGAGATGGCTCTATCACGCTTGAAAAGCTTTGAAGAGCACGGCTTAAGTGCCTGTTTGAAGCATCTCACGCCCTGACTTGGACTGGAAGTCCTTGCATGGCTTAGGCGATGCTGCTGGGCTTCAGATTTTAGTTGCAAGCTTCTGTGCATACCCGCTATCAACATAGAAGACACATTGCTGCAGTCGCATTCCTGAAGCTTAGCAACACTGCCCCTCATCCCACAGTCCCCTGATCGGTGCGGGCCAAGCCTGGATTCCCAACCGTGATCAGTCAAGCGACCCTTGAGCAAGCCTCCAGAGAGGTTTGTCTGTCCGCCTGAGTTATCCAGCAAGCACCGTCTAAGTCCGTGGGGTCAAGTTTGGCAGCTAACTTCAAGCCCTGGCGCGATGGGTTCAGATCGACGGGAAAGAGACGTGAATCAGCACCGACATAAATACATTTGTCTCAGGCTCCAGACCCCCAAAAGTCTGTGAAAGGAACGCCCAATATGAAGCGTCTATAAAGCCCGCATGCAAAGCGTGCAACCCACCTTCGTTGAAAGACACCTCCTGTCAGCCAGGCACTGATTTGGATCTTCTCAAGCGCATTTGCCAGCCTCGCCCGGCCATCCTCACGCTGCAAAGCATGGCACAAGCCCGCACTGGGTTTTCGGGCCTGGTTGAGCATCTTTTGTTAAGGCTTTAAGTTTCAAGTTAAGATTTAGGACTCAACGGGTTAACTTAGTTCACCTACAGTGGTTTACAAGGATGCAAACTCCAAGCGGTTCTAGTGTCCAATATGCTCCTGGTCGCATTTTGTCAGCGGCGCAGCCACCTGGGCGGTTGTCTTTCAGCGTTCGGAGCTTCGGAGTTGGAGCCTCGTGTGCTTACCCCATGAACTTTAAAGTAGACTACAAGCTAGCTTATGACTTGTAATGCTTTGTAATGTTGGTTGGTTACGGGTTTGCGGCTGTGGGCCTCTGATGCTTGAGCTTTCTTGCTCGGGTTCTGTTGAAGGCTTCAGAGGTGGAAGCCACATGCTGCTGAGCTCCGATGACAAGTTCTTGCTTCTACCCGGCGCGAACCCGAGCCCAACATTCTTCCTTTCAGTTTGATGGCCCTGCGGGTAGATGGTCAGGAGGCTCGTAAACTTGCTCATTCAACTCTGTCTTGTCCTGCAAGAGCTGCTGCGCATAGTGGGTTAAACCCGAATCTCGTAAAGCCCCAGGCCCCATGTCCCAAAGCCCCTCGGAGCTTTGCCGAGCCTTCACGTCTGAGCCGTATTCGACGATTCCCAGAGAGTCACGTGCGGACAGGTAGCGCAGCATGAACTTCCTCACTGAAGGCATGGACTGATCCGAAATTGTTCGACCGTGAGCTTGAAGAATGGAGACTGGACATGATGCCAGGAAGTCCCTGTGGGGTGAAGTTTAAGGCTTGTGTATTCTATGTGTGCATGTGTAACCTTTTAAACTGGTAGGGCTTAGATCAATTGTTGCAAGCTTGTGTTAACGGCTTAGATTGCAGTTCGGGCTTGGGATCCAATTGTGGTTTTCAGGTTGGAGAAGAACATAAGTCTCTGCCTTGAGCCCTTCAGTGCACAAGCCCGCGCCGTATTCCTAAACGAAGAGCCAACTTGAACCCACAAGAGCTCTTAGAATTCGCATGTGCAACATCGTATACAGCCCCCGAGGTATATAGCCCTAGAAATGTACACCGAACAGGGGTCATGGTTTGCTTCACCAGGCGGATCTTCTCCCCGCTCATGGAGCCAGACCGGTCCAGAATAGCCTGGACTCTTCTGGAATTTTTTGGGGTGGATATGAAAGAAATCTTATGGAGTTGTAGCCATGTCGTGTTAAAGGGTGTGTAGAGTTTTGCGGATGTTATGGGGGGTTTAGGGGCTTTCAGGCGGGCTGAGGTTTAGGACTTGTGCGGCGGAAGGTCTTGAAACGCAGTTTAGGGGTTTACGATTAACTTGCGTGAGGCATTATCATTGGCTTTTTCTTTCTCGATACCGACGCCGACGACTTGCACTTACACTTGTAAATGCTTGCTTCGGGTCCAAACTCAAAAAATGTCCCAGAGAGGCTTTTGAACGCTCCGGCACCGAGCAGCAACTAAATGGAGTGGAGCCCGGGCCCCCTCCTCCACAAGCGGCGCTACGACGGAGAGGACAGCCTGGCTCTGGGCTGGGCCAAAGCCGATCTCGAGGGCCGTTGCGCTTAGCACAAGGGTCTCAGGAGGGAACTTGGGAAACTTGGCAGTTTGGTTCTTTCCACGAAAGTGAGAATGTTCATGTACCGCTCACCAACCTAAGCTGCCAGCACCCTCAAGTCGACCTCAGGAGCGAAAGCAAACAAAAAAGCGCTGCACCCGAATGCAATACTTCCTAAATCGCCCAAGCCCTCCAAAACACCTGAGACACCCTGGGAGCCTTCATCTCGTTGGCGGCCAGCCCCATGGCTGGTCGCTCCAGAGCCACTTCCTGAGGGGACAAGTCCAACATGCGCCCATTTCAGGAGCACCCTTGAGGCTCACTTCGGGATGGTGCCGGGAATACGATGCTCCTCTAATATGCACGGAATTTCGGTACAGAACCTGGTTTTGCCCAAAATGTGCACTAAGCCACATCCTTGAACCCGTGGCCGCACACACCCCAAGAGAGCCCGAGACAAGTCCTACAAAACTCTTCCGTTTCATGAAGATTGCATGCACGTGCCCGCCCGACGCGAGGACAGCGATCCAATCCCCTTACTTCCAACGTGAGAACCCGACAGTGGGAAAATGTCACCATCCAAACGCCAGCCCATAGAACAGGCAACTGATCACCCCATACTAAAGCCCATCCAAGCAAGTGTGCGGCAGTAGGCGCTGCTTACAACCCTCAAAAGTCACTACAAGTAGAAACAAGGAATACAACAAAGCAGCGATCTTCCGAGAATGAAAGGAGTCCAAGCTTCTGCACTGAGGCTCTGAGCTCCGCCTGCACCTGCACCGCCTGCGGGTTCCTCGACCTGCAGGCGGAGGCGCCGCAGGGGGCGTCGACCGGGGACCGGGGAGCATCTTTTCGATTTCAGCTGCAGGGCTTGGGATCAGTGGCTTGACACTGAAGGCACAGAGAGCGTTCGACGGTCAGTGCAGCAGAGCCAAAAGTGAAGGAACGACCCTGAGAACTGCTTACAGAAGCATGAAGAAGGTCCTAGCAAAGTCGGAGGCAAAGGCTCCAAAGGAGGGGACTCTCCGCTGCTCTCCCAGCAGGGAAAGCCATGTCCACAACGGCACGCAGATAAAGCACTCACGCGAGAGCAGAACGTGACATGCAATGACAATCTTCAATGACAGTATGGGCCGAGGGTTGAGAGCCCAGATTCCGCGAGTTTTATGAAAGGAGTCGCACTTCGGAAATGTTGAGGAAGAAACTCTTATGTTCGCTGCAAGTGGGCTGTATAGTTGCCTTCGCAGGGAACACCAGAAACATCCAATCATGAACAAGCCACCATGTTCCATCCGTCGAGCGTGGACCGTCCGTCGTTGGTAATCACTTCGAACTCCGTGCTGGTCATGGCTCTCTGGCAGACAAGGCGAAAGGAGGGCGAAGGTTCTTGGGACGTGGACGCAAATGCTGCAGGTCCGTCGGCAATATGCATGAATGGCGAAGCATTCTCCAGCTGCAACCATCTGCTACTCAAGTCCAAGGTCCCATGATATCATGCGACCCACAACACGTCTACGGTGGCAGTAGGCCTACCTAGACTTTTCGGACTTTTTTTCCCGCTGCATTTTCGACGATACAAGGCCAACTTGTCTGCAAAGCCTGGCCTTGGCACAGAATTTCGGGATCCAGGCTGGGGATTGGGAGACTTGGGTTTCCGAGAGTGCAATGCAGAATAACAAACAAATTGAAGGAACAGGCTTTTGGGTGTCTGGCTTTGGGGCTTTCATGAAGTCTGCGATCTCTTTTGCTTCGGGCTTGAGCCCCCAAAGGTCTGGGTGCATTATGCCGCAACAGGATTCCGCCGATGTGGGGCTCTCCGAGGCGGATTAGTCTCTAAGAGGTCGGAGTCTCAGAGAGTCAGGTTTCCTGCCAGTTTCGATTGAATCTCAACCCTTCTTGATAATTTGTGGAACATACAGAATATAGAAGTTGCGAACTCGGATTTGTAGTCTCAGGAATCTCTGTCTTCGGATTTTTTTGCAATTTGGGCTTGGCTCAGGGTTCGTGAACTTAGAAAGTTGCTGCGACTGTTGTTCGGGATTTCCAGCACAAATATACGAGGCATAGGGCATGGAGTAACTTCCGGGTTTTTGAAAATTCAGGGCCGCATGGTCAGTAAGCTAATCGAAGATGCAGCGCATGAAGCTTGTTCGGAGAATCATGATTCGTCGAGTTCCTTTGGCCGCTTGGATCCGCTTTGCGTGCGGCAACTATTGTGTCAAAGATACTGGGTATACGCACCCTGAAACTACCTGGAAGCTTTTCGACTCTCTTCAGTGTGGGTCAGGCCCTCCATGGGCGGGACGCGAGATTCAAGGCATAAGTAAGAACGCACCAATTCCCATGCAAGCAAGAGATCTGGGTCCATCCCACCACTTCGGGATGCACCACTCTCGGACGAGTTCCCAGTCCTGCACTGAATATTTCGGAACCAGCTGTGCCGCTAACAAATCCGTCCATGATATGTATATATATATATATGTACGCACACACACATGCATACATACATACGTACGTACATAAATACGTACATACATGCATACATAAACCTGCGCGCTCCCCTGCATGATTGTGCACCGTGACCTCGTATCCCGCGCAGCACCGCACGGCGCGAGACACCCATGTGCAGCGAGAAACCTCTATAGGGACAGAAGCCTTCTGGGGAGTTACAGTTACAGCATGGCGATCCAGAACCAGACCAACATAACACGAACAATTAGGAATGACAACAGTTAGACGAAAGTCACAGCGACAGTGATAAGAAACGCACACACACTCTACACTCCCCTTGCTGGGTTCAGTGAGTTCGGGTCCAATATACTTGTAGACACCTACAGGCTGAGATTCGGAGTGTGGTTCGGAATCGAGGGCAGCCTAGAACAGAAAGAAGCCACCAAGCAGGAGTGTCCCGTCACTCCGAGACTTCGGCAAGGGACCCTTAGGCAGACAGGAAGCCTGAATGCCGCGACCGTATTCAAAAGGCAGGGCCTAGGATTACAGTTTATGCCGCGGAAGAGGTAGGGTTTACCTGCAAGGAACAACGAAGAACCAGAACTCTTTTTAGGCTGTGAATGCCGTCTTCATTGAACAAGCGTGCCCCCAAAGGCCACCGTGAAAAGACCTGAGTGGACCCTTTGCAGATGTAGCATGTAAATCGTCCTTGCGACGGTCTCCTCATAGAGGGTGCCAGGTACCCAGCAACTCCGTGCCATAATGGTCTTCGGGACTGCCGAAGAAAGTGAAACGCCGGATGTTGAATGGTGTCTTCATGTCTGAATCGTACAAGTATGGAAAGATCTCCTTCAAAGCATTGACCACCCTGCGAACTAAGCGGTCCCCGATGTAAATAGGGTGCAAGGACACTAACACGACTGGTTTTTGCTTCTTGAGAAAGGAGCGCATGGCAGGTATCAGCACGCGCTCGTGTCCTTCAGTATCGATTTTGATGAAAGAAACTCGCCGAAGCCGTGGGTATTTCAAGAGCAAGGCCTCAATTGTGAATGACGGAACGCTTGTCATAAAAGGGCGTGCTGGACCTGCGTATATCCGATTGTTGGAGTCCTCCTTGCGATTCAGGATCACAACGCTTCCGGTTTCGTTGTGCAGTGCCCCCCGGATGAGGGTGACTCGGCGGGACACGCGGGGGGGATTGACGTTCAGTTGGCCAACAACTGACACCCTGAAACGGGTGTGGGTTCTATGGCGAAGACATGCTCGGCAACGTTGGCTTCCCAGATCACCGTAGCACCAACCCAAGCACCAACATCCAGAACAATTTGCCCCGTCGCGAAACGCTGAAAGATCCGGAAGGTCAGCGGCTCCCAGGCACGATAGCCGGACCTAAACCAACCGGCCTTGGTCGTCATAGCATCGAAGAACACGGGGTAGCCGTGCTTCTCAACCACTTCGCTAATGGATCCGAGGACTGGCCGCGTTTTGCTGAGGTTGCAGCATTGGCAAGTCGTTCTGACTTCTTCGACTCGCTGCCTCACACAGCATCTCTCCGGAATGAACGTAGCATTCCAGCATTCGAGGTTTCCAGCTGGTCCAAACCTTTCGCCGCAGCAGTCGTCGTAGGTGAAGCCTCCCCAGCAAGCCTGCTGTCTTCGCCAAAGTCATTGAACTAAAAGCCGGGATCATATACCTAAGAATAAGACCGAGAACTAAAACGTATCCTGTCGACCCTGCAAGAAACTGAATCAGGCAGTAGGGACTGTGCAAGGAAGAGCGACAGAGCGGCCAGCAGCCGCAGCATCGCCAAACATCCATCTTGCGTGGTTTCTGGATGAAGCGGCAACACTGAACCTCGTAGCGTAACTCCCAAAGGGCCAGGATGCCTAGCCGTCATGCTCTGAGCCATACAAACTCTGAAGTGAGACCCAGGGCTTCGCAGGAGCTCATGTTTAGGACTGAGCCAGGCTGTGAAGATCGTGACGGCAATCATCAAGGAGCCACCTGTACCAACATAAGTAAACTTGCGCGCATACATGCCACTTGCTTACTTGAAGCCCAACTCTAACGCAGGATTAGTGGTGTTCTTCCACAGCAGGGCTGTCCCATCTTGCTTCAAGCAAGCCTGACCCAAAGTCTTGGTTGTAAGGTACCTAGACTCACGGCATGCTCACGGCTCCTCAGCACGCAAGCAAGTACTGTTAACCCTGCCCGTAGCTCAGAATCCAAAGCTTGGTGCTTGAAGTGGGTCTCTAGATGAGCCTTCAACGTCCCTCCACAAAATCCCAACTTTAAGTCGCAAGGCTAAGCCCTACATCATGAATGACTCTTAACCATAAATCCCGCCTTGACCAGGAATCCCTAAACCCAAAAAGCTTGGGCAGTCCTCTGCGATGCGGGAGAGAAGCCGATGGCCTCGCATCAGCTGCGGAAGTTTGCTGGAGCCGAAGGCTTCTTGCAGCTATCGAACAACGGAACAAAGCCAGACAGCGAAGTAGGGATGCATCGCGTATGCATAACTGAGACTCGAGTTTGGTTGAAACCCCAAGCTGACGTCGAAATGGGCCTACAGGGTTTCAGGGCTTGGTCCCCGCAACGTCATACTTCTTCGCCTCTCTTCGTTGTGGCCTTTTCCGGGCAAATCTTACTCAAACAACATGATCGTAGCACACGGGCCTCGGAGGAAATCAAGGGACAAAGACTCTGCGAGCCCTTGCCGAGCTGCTGTTAGCCAGAAGCTCATAATATCTGTGGGTAACCCGAGAAGTAGAGAGGGTTACCAGAAGTTAATCCGA